TGAATCTTTTTTTTTTTTTGGTACCAGGGATCGAACTCAGGACCTTGCGCTTGTGAGGCAGGCAGCAGAACCACTGAGCTAAATCCCCAGCCCTGTAAGTGAATCTTTGAGATTAGTTGAAGTTTGAAAGAAAAAAATGAAGAAAAATTTTACTGTTTCATACTGGATGATCTCAGAGTTAATACTAACAAACCTCCCATTGCTTCCTCAGACGTTATGTTTGAAAACAGTCTTTCTTCTACTTTGGTGGTTTTACTCTGAAGGGTCAAAGGCTTGGAGAGGTGAGATTAAAGGGAAGATTACAAAAACATGGTAAGGATTAAAGCAGAGGAGTGGCAGAAGTAAAAAAATTGAAAAAAAGGGGCCGGGGATTTAGCTCAGTGGTTTTGTCACCTGCTGCGCAAGCGCAAGAACCCAAGCTCGATCCCCAGTACCAAAAAAAAAAAAAAAATTGAAAAAAAAAAAGGCCCAATGATTGTTCTGAAAAAGGAATCTGTAGGTTTTGATACTGTAGAAGAAGAATGAATGAAAGATGACACCTTTATTTCCTGCCTGAGAGAATGGTGACAATATTCAAAAGAGAAATAAAAACAGGATTAGTTTTGGGAAAGAAAATTGTAATTTCAAATTTAGATATTCTGAATGCAGTAAAGGAAAAACAGTCCCTTAGCAATGTTTAGGAAAAAGGTAAGTAAAGAAGCTAAAATTTTGATCCAAAGAAAAGGAACACCTAGGGATATTCTTCTATAAAGTGTCAGTATTGAATGCAAGATGAAAACTACAAGGGACCGGGGGATTTAGCTCAGTGTTTCTGAGGCCTGCTCTGCAAGTGCAAGGACCCGAGTTCGATCCCCAGTACCAAAAAAAAAAAAAAAAAGAAAAAAGAACAAATATCAGGTTAGTTGTTAACCAGTTAGAACTTTCTAATACTTCTCATGTTAATGTAAAATGATAAAACTTTCTTGGAAAACAATACAGAAATTTCTTTTATTACTGTTGAGAACCAACAGTTCTGTTCTTAAGTTTTTACTTAAGAGAAATGAAAACACATGTTCACAATAGATTTGTATATACAGGTTGACTGTCCCTTATCTGAAATTCTTGGGACCACAAGTGTTTCATATTGTGATTTGATATCCACTTGATCTGCAAAGAGGATAGCGCTACTCCTGCTTTTTTTTTTGGTTCATGTCCCATGGAGTATTGTTTTCCACTCTTTAACCTTCAGCCTATGAGTTTCTTTTTGAATTAAGTGTGTTTCTTGTATGCAGCATATTGTTGGATTTTGATTCTTGACCCATTCTGCCAGTCTTTTTCATTTGATTGGTGAATTGAGATGATTAACATTGATGGTTATGTGACTTTTTCTTTTTGTTGGACTCTCCCCCCTTTGCATTTAATTTCTTGTTGTGCCCAATGGAGTCATTCTGCTGTGCTTTCTGCGGTTGTGATCCTCACTGTCTTTTCCTAGGATATTGTTTAAAATTTTTTGGAGTGCTGGTTTGGTATTCATGAAAGGTGCTCTTTGTCATGAAAGTATCTTACTACTTCATTAATTTTGAAAGATAGTTTTGCAGGGTACATCAGTCTGGGTTGGAGGCTGTTTTCCTTTAGGGCTTGGTATACGTCACTCCAAGCTCTTCTTGCCTTGAGGGTTTGCGTTGAGAAGTCTGCTGTGATTCTGATGGGCTTTCCTTTGTATACGATTTGTTTCTTTTCTCTGCTTGTAGAATTTTGTTCTTCTGTTGGAATCTTAACTATTATATGCCTATGTGAAGATTTTGTTTGATCAAGGCCAGTTGGAGTCCTATATGCCTCACTTATCTGTATGTCAAGTTCTTTTCCTGTGCTTGGGAAGTTTTCTGCCATCACTTCTGTGAACAGTTTTTTTATGTCACCTGCTCTATTCTCTCCTGTTTCTTCATTGATTCCGATCAGTCTTATGTTAATTTTCTGTGCATTGTCTAGTAGCTGCTGGATTGATTTCTTATGGTCCCTTACTATTTTAAAGAGATTTGCCTTTTCCTGGTCACTAATTGCAATCTCATCTTCTATATCTGAAATTTTGTCTTCACATTGGCTCATTCTGCTGCGTAAACTTTCAATGGAGTTTTTAATCTCCTGGAAATCTGTTTGCATCTGTCTTTTGGATTCCATTTGTTTCCTATGTTGGGATACCATCATGTTCCTCAGCTCCTCTATTTTTTTTATCTGTGTCCTCTTTAGATTTATTAAGCATGTCTTGCACCATGGGCACAATCTCTGCTGTTATCTGAGAAATTATTGCTGATTTCATTTTTTTCAGATGCTGTTTTGTTGCCGGTTCAGGGAGTCCAGGTGGTTGAGTATCAGATTGTTCCATGTTGTTTCCCTTTGGGATTGCCCTAGGCGATCTGGAAGTCTGGTTTTAAGAGTTGTTTATGTGTCTTCGCATTTCAATAGATATCTTTGTTGAGGCAATGTTTTGCTCACCCAGTGGTCTTCAATTCTCAGCAAGCCACAGAGCTGCCTTTTCTCTGCTGCTCAGCAGTACACTAATTCCTGGGTCAGAAAGGTGGCCTTTTGTATCTCTGAGCTGACCTGTTGTCTGGGTGGGTTTCTGGCTGGGGCCTGTGCATACTTGGGATGATATCTAGATGTGCCACTGGCTAGGGCCCTTGTATAGCTGTTGTCTGGGAGGGTCTTTGGCTGAGGGCTGTTCACCCCAGTTCCTGTTTTGTGAGCAAGTTTCTGGCTAGGGCCTTGCACACTTTCTGATGGTATTGGGGTGAACCTCTGTCTGTTGCTTGTGTGCCTGTGCAGCTCTTTCCCAGGCAGGCCCTTGGCTTGGGCCGGTGTACCTCAGCCTCTGGGATCAGGGCGGAACACTGGTTGGGATCTGCTTGTAGCTACACTGCTCTGGTCCACACCACTGCCCCAACTAAGGTGTTCTGATGTGCCTTTATTGCAGAGATTTTCTTCACTTTTCCAGTGGGCTCTAATTTTCATCAAGGGGCCTGAGAGAGGCCCTCTTTCTGTTGTTCACTTCTACTCTTATCTTTTCAAGCTCAGAACAATGTCCTTCATGACCCCTGCAACACTGTGGTGTGGATTCAGGTAATGGCTCAGCACAGCCAGGGTGTATGTGTGTGTGTGTTTGTGTGTGCTGCCGCCCATGTGGCTCATCTCCTCGGTGCTCTGGGGTGGTGGTACGGCAGCCCGAGAAGCTCACCTCCTTGGTGCTCTGGGGTGGTGGTGTTTTTGTGGTTTTTGAGACAGGGTCTCGGTGTGTAGTTTGGACTGGCCTTGAACTCACTATGTATCCCAGGCTGGCCTCGAAACTGTGGCAGTCCTCCTGCCTCAGCCTCCTGAGTGCTAGGATCCCACACTCAGCTAAGTTTGTTATTTTAGAACTAATAACTACAATTTATCTGGTCCAACCCCTTCATTTTACACATGAGAAAACAGAGGTCTCAATGGGCAAAGTTCTTATTTCAAGGTCACACTATCTTGCTTGTAGTAATAACAGTACTACTTTTTGTATATTTTCCTACTAAATGGAATAGTATAAGTGAAATGTATTTACAGCAGCAATTATATAACAAGAATAATTAAAAGTCATTAAGAATGCTTCGAGAGGTGACATTCACTTGGTTCACACTGGTAGAAATGGAAACATTTCTAAACTATTTGCTAAGCAGCTGCTGTTGAGTCTCCTGAGAGTCTCAACCCCTCTATGAACCCAATTTCTCCACTGTAATAAGAGGATCTACCTCAAAGATTTGACTCAGGAATTTAATGATGGCAGTAAAGAGCTTAAGGACGGGGTCTTGTGCTCAGCAGTATTATACTTTGGGCATTTTAAAATTTATAGTCATGATAAAATGGTAGTAAATCTCAAACCAGTTTCTATATGAATGTTCATAACTTAGGAAATGTGGTAGCATTAAAGTTCATTAACTTTGATCTAGCTATTCTCTCAATAAAATGGTCACTCATACTCAAATGTTCATTTTGCCTTTCTTCCCATTGTGTAACAGGTGAATCCTTCTTGCCACACATCCAAGTGCCGGCAGCTCTGGTTTTGAGTAAAAATTGACCCAGGCTGACCCATAAAAGTAAATAATGTACTGACAATCCTATTAGTTCTTAATATAAGAGGTCACGGAGAATGTTCCATAGTCTTTTGTTCAGCAGAATTCATCTGTAATTTTTGGGTTAAGCAAAGAGAGGCCTAAAGCTCAGTCTGGTGAGGAAGGAGAGGAAAGATAGGTACAGCACTTCTTAAGTAAACATCAGAAGCTGGGAGTGATGAGAGGTATAAGAAAATAGCTGGTGTGAGAAGAGAGAGGGGTCCCAACAGCAGAGAGGCTGGAAGTTGTGGACAAAGTACCTTTAACAGTGATGCTACTTTCTGATGGCCAATGATGCTTAAAACTATTTTGGGACGCTTCCTTGTCTTAAAATTTTTCCTGGCAAGAGAAAGGCCGAGTTTCAGGACCTTTTCTCTGTGAAGACAGCAATTTTTTTTTTTTTCCAGTGCAAGGGATCAAACCCAGGGCCTCACACACAGTAGACAAGTGCTTTACCACTAAGCTACACTCCCAGCCAAAGAAATGTAGTTTTTAAAAGCTGAGAGTGTTGTCTATACTGAAAGAGGCAGGATAAGCACTCCTGATACAAGTGAATCTTCAGGAAATTCATTATTGGCTTGCTACTTAACATGTAAGATTTGTTCTTTAAGGTTAACTTATACTTACTTCCAGTACTGGGATGGCAGCTAAATCCTGGCAAGGCACTAGAAAGGGGTCTGATAAATATGTGCTGTCACAGGTTGAGAACACACTGTCTCAAGAGAGCAGAGGTGAGACTTGCTGAAGAATTTGTTTCTGTGTATTGCAGAGACAAAGATATTCGTTATTTTAATATATTGTCCTCTACAGTGTATTAAGTCCTGGGTAAACTCCCAAAGTCTTTGGGCCAGAATTCTAGCTTTGCCAGTATTTTTGTGACCCTGGATAAGTCACTCTATTTTTCTCTTTTTACAAGGAGATAACAATCATAAAAATGACTGTAAACTACTTTCACGAGGTACTTTTTTAGAGCTGAAAATAAACCAAGGATATAAGGTCTGGCAAAGCCTCTCAGAACCTGAGCTGCTTCAGGACAGGGTTTTCCTTTCTTTTCTGACTCATCAGTGTCTTGTCTGTATCTCTGTAATACAGTTCCTGGCCTAGAAGGGAGTTTCAATAAATACTCTTGAATTTATGAACATTAGGCTGACTGCATTCTTGCCAGGGGACTGCCTCTTAAATCTCTTTTCTGTGAGCCTTTTAGTACTTTGTATCTAAAAGGTTGCCAGTATTTCCTCTTGGAATTAGTACTGACAGTGTTTACTTAAAAATAACGACCGGGCAAGCAATCGCGCTTGTTTTGAGGGCACCACTCTACCTTTTCACCCCGCAGCGCTCCAGTCTTGGGATCTGGGTCCGGAGGCTACAGGGAAGAGTTCGGAACGGGAAGCTCATTTTGCAGGCCTCTGATTGGTTGGCTCGCACTCCACTCACGTGGCTCGCGGCTCTGATTGGCCCCGGTGGCACCCCCCCCAACCCCCCGTCCGCGAGTACTTTGTAAGCCAGGGCGACGTAGTCGGGTGGCCCCGCTCAGCTCAAGGTCTGGGCTGGCCCGAGGTAGCTCCTCTTCCGCTGTCAGTTCTGCATCGCGTGCTCCTGGAATTTCCCGAGTCCGAGCGGGTAGGAAGGATTCTAGGGCAAAGCTTCTGCCTCCGTTCCGTGGATTTTACCCCCTACTCAATAAACTTCCGCCTCTGAGGGGCTGTCGCAGCCGCGGGTCGGGAGAGGCAGAGGGTCGAACTCTGGCCCTCGTGGGGGGTCTTCCTCTTGCAGCGAACGTGGACACAGCTCCCGCAGACCAGATGGGGCTGCGCCCTTCCGCGACGTGAACCACGCCACTGTGTGATAGCGCTGCGAGGTGCAGCAACCCCTCTAAGAGGAGCCAAGCGCCGGCCTCGAGCTCGGCGCGGGCGCGTCTCAGGGCCGCGGGCCGCGGTGGCTTGGGCGGCCGTCTCCAGGCGCAGCAGAGAAACGGCTCTGCTCGGCTCGGGGAACCGCGCTTTGCTCGCGCCCCCTCAGCCTCCGGCCTTAGGCGGTAGAGGGCGGCCTACGCCCGTGTGCGCGCAGCCGCCCACCGTCCCGCTGTGGCCCACGGCTCGGCGTGGTGCTGGATGCTGCAGCTAGGATACCCCGGGGCGCAGCGAGGAAGGGGGCGGGGAGAACCCAGCACATGCCCGGGACGCCAGGAGGAGGCCGCGCCTGGCGCATGCGCGCTCTGTCCCAGAAGCCTGGAACGCTGAGGGGCGCGCGCCCCCCTCGCGCGCACGCCCGCTTGCGCCGGCCGCGGCTTGTTGTCGGAGCAGCTCCGGCGCGTGCGCGCGTTGTCTCCGGCCGACCCGAGTAGCCGGGTTCCCTCGGCTCCAGGCGCCCGCCCTCTGCCTCCCTCCCGGCCCCCAGTCGGCCGGTCCCCTCCCTCTCCTCGCGTAATGGGGCCGGCGCTGCTCGGGGTCGCGCGCCCTGGACCCCGCTCGCGTTCGGTCTTGGTCTCGCGCTGTCAGGGACTGCCCGGCTCGCACCGCCTCGCGCTCTCGCTCAGTCAGTGGCGCCGAAGGCTCCGTTAAGCGGCGGCCGCGGTTCCTGTTTCCGTTTCTTCCTCTCCTTTCAGTCGGGAGAAGCATCCTCCACCCAGACACCCCTCCCACTCCCCAGAGCCGGGCAGCTGCGGCTGGGCTGTGGCCGCGGCGACGGGGGACGGCGCGATCGCCTCGCTCCCGCCTCGGGTAAGGGGGCGTTAGGAAGCCGGGCCCCGCGAGCTTGAGGGTCTCGGGCCGGGCGAGCGCGCGATCTGTGGAGGCTGCGGGGCTGTCGCTTCTCTTTTCCCCGGGCGACCCCCGGGCCTGTTGCTGCTTATCCAGCGGCCCCAGAAAAGTGGGGAGGGAGCCCCCGGGATGCCCTGGCAGTTCCTCGGCGCGGCGCGGACAGGGGGTGGGGACACCCGCCAGCAGCCGGGACGCGGAGCGGCGCCCGAGGCGCCGCGCATCCTCGCTCCGGGCCGGGGCCGAATCCGCGGAGAGAGCAGGGATGGGGATGGGGGCGGGGGTGGGAGGTGTCCCTGCGGTCTCCTCCGCTCCCCGCTGTGCGCACCTTCCTTCTCTCCTGCAGTGGGGTCCCAGTCGGCACAGACTGTGAAGGAGGACCCCTGTGCGTTATGGGGTTTCCGACCCGGGAGGGAACGCGCACAAAGGTTCGCTCCCGGCGAGGGGCCAGAGCGGGGCAGTGGATGGTTTCGAGTGCCTCTGTACCCCCTTTTGACGTGCAAATGCGCTGGAGGCACCGGGTGTAGAAACTTACTTGGGAAGGTTAACCGAGTCCATCTACCAGGAGGTTTGTCCTGCACACGAGTGGATTGTTGGGTGCAGCACCTGTTCTCTCTATGTAAGCACGGAAATGTTCAGAGGCGAAACGTGTTTCTTAAGTTAAATGACATTGTCATGTTAAGGTTTATCCCTGCCCTGTTTGGCCCTTTAGACTGAGGCGTTGGATCAAATAGGTGGTGTTTTTTCCTTCCTGTGTTTGGTTTAGCAGTTTACTTAATCCAACCCAAGAAAGTGGACACAAGGAGAGCTAGACTCTCCAGTAGATAAGCTCCAGGGTTGGGGCAGGGGGACAAAATAAAGTTTTCTCTCAGTTTAAACTTACCACAAGTAACCGACTTAACTTTACCTTGTGTCTATAGAAACTAAGCAGATTGCATTATAGTTTTTTATTGTTGTTCTCGGAGTAAGGTTGCATATAGATTTTTTTCTTAATTTAAGTTCCGTGTTTTACTCATAAATCTTTTAAAAAGGTACATCATATAGAAAGTAGGAGAGAAATCATTTACTAAAATAATGAATTAAGCTGTCTCCATTAAAACATCCTGAAATCTTATGCCAAATAATAAGGTCCTGTACGTTGCTATTTTTATGAAATATCGTATGTGGAGATTTTAATTATTTATAAATACTACGGTAGTAAAGGGAAGGAAATTCAAATATTTGAAATTTTGATTTTATAGACTTAGTATGCAAAAAATGTAAGGAGAGATCATAGGTTATAAAGAATATACAAGGATGGTTTGGAGGCATAGATTGTGCTGCCCTGAGAATTCTGTTTGAATTAAAGAGCTGAACAGCTGGAATGGAACTTGCATAGATTGAAGAAACTGATGCAAAAATGTGTCTTTGATCAAATGGTGAGTTAACATGAAGGGTATCTTGTGGTTTACTAGAATAGTGATTCAAAACTATTTGAATAAAGGCACTGTAGATTGTATTTTAAGGATATTCTTGAATTTAACTAAAAAGTCATTTGCAGTTGTTTTCCTGTGAAGTCAGTTCCGTTTAAGATTTGTACAACTGAAGAAACAACCATTCTAATTGCATTGTGCAATATTTTGTTTCAAATACTAACCAGTTTTTTGTAAGGAATAAGAATTTGGGCCGGGGATGTAGCTCAGTGGTTTCGCCGCCTGCTGCGCAAGCTCAGGGACCCGAGTTCGATCCCCGGTACCAAAAAAAAGAAGGTCTAAAAATGGTGAATTTTGAATTTGCTAGTGGGTCGGAAAAACTTGTGTGTGCTTTTTACTTTGTGTGTGTGTTTAAATGCAGTTGTATTAGTAGGTTGGTCTGGAGGGGGAGCTAGTGCCAAAGCAAAGTGTATCTTAATAGATGTTTGAACTTTTGAAACACCTGAAACCAGATTTTTATTACCAGAATAACAAAATTTTAATTGGTAAGGGAATTGGAGTGGACACATATTTGTAGATAGTTATTTGTAGGGTGCATATATTGTGTATTACAAATTAGTTTAAATCATCTTTTTTATTCAAAATATTTCTACTTTTGATAAATATCTACCTTACTGAACAATTAAAATCTACACCCATGAAAGACTACTTGAAACAGGCTCAGGCTTGCAATATCTCCCCTTCCCCCCTTTCCCTCTCTTAAGTTTTAGGACTACAAACACTGAAAAAAAATTTAACATGCAAACATGTACAAAGGGCCAAGAACACACCTTATCTTCTGATGTACTGCATAAGAAGATTAAGAAAATATTCTAGTTTTTATAACATGTTTTCAGAAATTTTT